TATCTATCTATCTATCTATCTATCTATCTATCTATCTATCTATCTATCTATCTATCTATCTATCTATCTATCTATCTATCTATCTATCTATCTTTGCAACTACAAATTATTTTCTTTCTTTTTTTTAAAAATCAATTATCAGTTTTATTAACTTATTGATATACTGTTTATGAGCCATGTTGACTAAATTAAAATAGGTTCTTTGGTCTAAACAGCAGTCAAAACTAATTAAAGAAGAAATAATATCACAGAATAAAAAAACGCATACACTTTAGTAGCTCGGACAGATGGATGTTTTCAACGCTATTCTTAATTGTTGCTGAGTAAAGTTCTAATAAATGAATAATCAGTTAATTATTTTACACATGAAATTACATGAAAAGATATGATGTGGTCTTTACAAGCCTACGATGGCAATAGCCTCCTACATGGCATAGAGGACCTAGAGGGCGAGATGAAGAGAAGGGCACTATGCAAATAAAATCATTTTGCATCTACTTCTAGACAATAAGAAGAAATGTATCAACTGAATGTCTGAATTTAAAGGAAACTATTCAAATTTCTTAATTCTTATGCAAAGACGCCCAATTTGTCCATAAAATGTTATGTTTGTTAATGGTCTTTTAAGGATTCACTTTCTTGGTGGCACTTGCTTCCAGATTCAAAATACAACGTATCAAAAGAGAAACTTGGATGTGCATGTGAAAAAAAGGAAAGTTTTGAAGTCTAACCTTAAAATTAAAGAGTGTGTCTGTCGCCTGATACACTATATTGCCAAAAGGAAGTCTTCAAGATATGAAGGGGCATGGTCATTCAGGACTTTGTATGTACTTTGTATGTGCGAACAAGGATTTTAAATTCACTTCTGGATTTAATTAACTAACAAGGCAGAAACACGATCTTTCTATTCCTGTTAGTGCTTTCTTGAATATAGGGCTGTAGGGTTTTAATGTAGATTTTATCTTTGTCAACGCAAATTTCATAGGATGGTTAGGGTGCGGAATTTATACATTTTGGATAAAATGTATTCTGCAGTTCGGAGGAATGCAATCCGTTTTCTTTCAATAATAAAACAGCCACATAATAAGGAATTACAATAGACTTCTTTTTCAGCATCTTTCTGAGACAGCATGTTTCTAATTTTAGCAGTTTTCCTTGCTGCGAAAAGTAAACTTATTTCTCTCTTACCTCACCCAGTGTGTTGCAGGAGAGATTGATGCTCTTCAGGGTGTTATTCTGTGCTAACATACTAGACAGGGAAAGCACAGTAAGCCAAGTTACCCCATTGGCTCCCAGTTGCAGGTGAAGTAGGGTTTTGTTGTTCAACAAGGCCTTACAAATAGCCTGACCACCCTCATCCTTCAGACGGTTCAGACATAGATTGAGGGACACAAGAGTTGTGTTCTTGGACAAGGCATGAGCTATAGCCTTGGCCCCAGGGCCGCCAATATTGTTGTCATACAGGTTAAGGATCTCCAGCTTGCTCTTTGTGAGCAATTTGCCGATGGCTCTGGCTCCGCTGTCTCCAATCACGTTGTGAGAAAAATCTAGAGTGCGCAGGGAGGGGTGGTCTAAAAGGTACTTCACCAACAAACGACACTTTTTATCTTCAAGGTGGCTTAGATGGAGCCTAAAGAGCTGAGGAAACAGTAAGAACCTGTGATGGGTCTTTCCAAGCAACACACAAAAAATAACATGCTTACACATCAGCACCACACGATCAGATAAGTAATGTTTTATGGGTAAACATTGAAAAATTAATCAGGACACCCTCAGAATATGCTTGCCTTCATTTTTAGTGCTACAGGCTCTCAAAGTACAAAGTGGATGCTGGAAATTTGGCACTTTTTAGATCGGATTAAAATTTATTTTTTGGGGGGGATGTACCATCATAGCATTGTGTTTCTGTTGGATAAGTAGAAGAAAAACGGATGGAATAGATGTTCGGATAGACTTAAAAACTGACTATCCATACATACATCCATACATAAAAACAGTTAAAAACTATAATAAGATCAAATTTTTATCAGCTTTTTTGTTCAGCAAAATTTCTTCTATAATCAACTTTGAGCATCAGTATTGGAATATGAAATAGATAGAACTTGGTTATTCAGTCAAAAGAGTAGCAGCTCTGAGTAGAGCTGCTACTCTTCCACATTGAAAGTCCAGGTCAGGGGCTTCTGGCATCTGATTAGGATACCTAATGGATGCAGGTAAGGTATTTAGGTGTGCACTAGTAGAAGAAGGTGCCAGGGCAGACCCATTACTCACATAAGAGATTACATCTCTTGGCCTGCTTAAGAATGCCTTGGTGTCCGCCCAGATGAGCTCTGAGCGTCTCTGCTAAGACTTCTGCCCCCCGCAGCCAGAACCCAGATAAAAATTAATGGATAGATTGCAAGTATTAAAATATTACAATATTACACAAAATACATTTTTGCATTTTTTTCTGCAGAACTCTTGACATATCCTTTGATGTTGATGCTCAAAGTTGGTCACAGAAAAACAACTGCAATGAGCAACAAGTAGATTTTGACTCCTGAGTGCAACACTTGTCCTGGGTTTTAAAACTGATATTTTGCTGTAGCTTTTTGAGCTTTTTTGTTCCAAAAATATCCTGCAGCATCAAAATGCTGGAAAACAAAATAAGGTGCCAAATTTCAACCCAATCCCACTCCTGTTATTTGAGGGCTTGAAAAAACGTACATAGAATGGGGATTTATTTCTGCACGAAGTCGGGCGGGAGCTTTTTTCACATAGGATATCTGGAATGGGTACTATGTAATTTAATGCAATACTTACCTTTAATGTCTTACAGGACTTAAGTGCCTTGGCAAGGGACTCACAGTCCCGGTTGGTCATCTCAAACATGCTCCATTCAAAGTTCATACCACATGATTTGACTTTGTACACCAAGTGCAGCTCTTCCAGGTTTGTAAGCTTGTCAAGCAAGATCCTAAAGTCAAAGTGGTCCATACCAGATTTATCATCATCATTTGCAAGTGTCAGCTCTGATGCTTGCTCCTCATCCTCCGTCTGCGGCTCCTTGACAGGTGGCAGAAGCTGAGCAATGTTTAGCTTCTTGATGTGGTCTTTACAAAGCGTGACCATGTCTAGAACTGTCTTTGGCTCTGTTATGCCTGGAACGAAAAGTTCAATGATGTTCTCCAGCTGCCTTTCAAAAAACATTCGTTTCCAGCTTTCACCGTAATTAGAGACGTCACAAACTTTCCACTTCTGCTCACAGCATCGCTTCCAGTAAACGCCATCTGGGAAAACATTGGCTGCGAAATGCAGAGGCAGGGAAAGGGACACTCTGTTCTGAATGAAGTCCTTCTCACTGGATGTAAGCTCTTCATATATTGGCCTTTCTGCAACAGGTATACATTTTGCAATTAAGTTCCAGCTTTATTACAAGTGAGATTATAAACTTGTGGATAATAGCGATACTAAAAACCACCTTCAAAGTTGTTCACTATGCACTGGAGAGAGAGGTTTGACAAACTGGACACTGTAGCCAGTGACCAGTCTAGATCTTCAGCAATGATCCTCCTCATGTTACTGCAATCTTCACTTTGGATAAGATTAGCCCTGGAGGATAAAGAGAGGCATTATAATATAGAGATACGGCACTTAAGTGAAATGTATGGGGAAAATACAGTGCTGTATTTGGCCCCTTCCTTATTTCTAACTTTTTTTGCATATTTGTAACATTTACATATTTTGGAACATCAAACTAAGTTTAACATTAGACAAAGATAGCCTGAGTAAATACAAAATGTAGTTTTTAAATGATCATTTCATTTATTAAGGGAAAAAGCTATTTAAATCTATCTGGCCCATCACCTTACAAATAGCCTGGTGATGTGAAAAATCTAATACCTGGTTATGCAACCCTTGGAAGCAAGAACTATAATGAAGCATTTGCAGTAACTGGCAATGAGTCTTTCACATCAGTGTGGATAAATTTGGACCCTAATTTTGGATGAATATTTTCCCAAAAGTCTTGGGGATCATCAAGGTATTTTTTGGCAAATGCGAGACGAGCCTTTGTGTCGTTTTTGTTAGCGGGGGTTTTCTCCTTGGAACTCTTGGAATGAGTCGTCACTGTCCTCTTGGAGTAACTTTGCTATGGCGGCAACTCCTGGGAAGGTTCATCGCCATTCCGAGTTTTGTCTATTTGTGGATAATGGCTCTCACCATGGTTTATTGGAGTCCCAAAGCCTTAGAAACTGCTTTGTCATTGACTGATAGATCTCAATGACTTTGTTTCTCAACAGCTTTTTTCAACCGTGGCATGGTGTGTTACTTTTTGTGGTCTTTTAGTCTACTACAATGATCACTGCAGTGATCAGTCCTGGGTGTGAATAGAAAATTGAACTCAGCTTTCTGAAAATGTGGTTAAAATAATAATTTAACAAACGGGGTGGCAGGCAGGCCAGGTAGGTTCAAATAGCTTTCCCCCCCAAATAAAAGAATAATTTATGAACTGCATCAGCTTAATTTAAATTCAGTTAACGAACTCACTTACTTTGATTACATTTTGCGATTACGTGCAGTTTTTATTTCCTAACAATGTTCGAATAAAGTTATTACAGTAATTTTACAAAATAAGTGCCAGAAGTGGACTAAAAAAATAAAAAAATAAAAAATGAATAATAAAAAAGAATAAGTCAATAAATAAATCACACATTTAAAATTTCCTTCATAGACAGATATTATATTTTCAATTGTAGTTATATGGTGAGTCTAAGTAGCTCAGCTATTGGGCTATTGAGTTGCTTTTGAAGTTGGGCAGAAGTTGCTAGCTTCTGACCAATACGGTATCTTACATAGTTAGCTTAAGAGCATGTAGTCCCACCACTGTTATAGCTATCGAATAAAAACTTCTTCACGGAGCTATTTAATATTTGTTTTATGTCATTCAGTTAGATATACACAGCCTAATCCTTGTCGTATACATGCTAACATACCTGCAGTACTGGTTTAGGGTTCATCTGTTCCCATGGGAACGGAACGCAGTGAGTTTACTTTAACGTCTCTGGGAAATTTGAGTTTTTACTCTGAATGTTGACCGATACCTCGATGTACGTATAAACGTAATGTTTATACTGTTTACTGCTGTGTTTAGGAGACAAAAAAATAAATACAAAATTTAGTAAGACACATGGAAATACGCATTTCACATGGAAATCATTTTCATTTTTGTGAGTCACCGGTTCGGGAAAACAAATTTCCGAGTTTCATGAAATGAAACAGTTTTTCTTAAATACACAAGACAGACAATGACAAGCTATAGTATTACTACTACCACTACTACTACTACTAATATTAATATTAATAATAATAACAATGAGCTGTAGAAAGAGAAGAAGAGTACAATCATAAGTTGCTTAATTTGGGAATCAAAGCTACCTGGAACAAATCGCATGTTTAAATAACATCCAGTATTTATACAACCACAGCTTTATTTTCACAGAGAAACGAGTGCTTTGTGTTTAGGTTTGCATCTGAGGAAGCAGTGATCATGCTGTGAAACACTCAGATGCCACCAAACTGCCAGATGGACCTTGGGTCTGGACCATGGGCCTTTTGGAAAAGAGCACACTGGAGTGGATCCATCTGTCTCACAAGCAACACAAAACAGGCGCAAGGCTACTGTGTAGGAGGTGAGAAATCTGTAAATACCACCTTAAGAGACTCATGGTTGTTATTAAGCAAAACATCATTTAAAGCCAAGTTATTTTACATGGATAGAGATGGAGTCACAAATTTTAGAGTCGACTGTAGGAGCTAATTGCACTGAGAGAATGAGATGTTTGAATTTGACACCACTGTTATCACATAAGCCACAAATTACACTTAGAGCATTTTTTCATAGTCTGAAAAGCATTGTAGCATAGTAAAGACGGAACGAGAGTGTGTAGACTTGCTGCTTTGATGCAGTGGAAAGATGTAACACTTAATTTCATACATTTGTGTGAATCTTTGTTTTAAAATGCCCGAATCAAATACCAAGTAGATGCAGGATAAATTTGTTCCTTGAATTAATCATCTGTGGACTTCATCAGCTTTCATCAGTTGTGTAACATTCAAACATGGATGAAAGCAGGTACATGATGCTGCAATCCTGACTCTGCTCCCCATATGCTTGGGCAGAGAGAGCGTGACTGAGTAACAGTTAGATAGCTGTTACTGGCATCGTGAGGTTGCTTCCAGGAGTCGGATGGCGGCTCGGATGGAGGAACGAGAGGCTCCAACTGTAGCCCCAAGGCAGTCCATCACTGTCGTCCTCGTGTAACGCGGTCCGACAGACACACGCGTCCCTCGTACTCCGGCTTTAATGGACTGGCGTGACATCAGGCATCCACAGCACAGAAGGCAAACTCACTCTGTGGGCTGCTGTCCCAGTGCTCTCTGTGGAGTGAATCACAGTGTTCGAAGGGAGGGGTTGTCACTGCACCACATAAGAGGTGCACATGTTTACTGATCAAAGTGGCATCTCTGATGTTTTGGCATGAAGCAAACAAGAGAAATAGGAAAAACCAACCAGCTATTCAACCCTACTGTTTGCCAGAGGTATCGAATCAGAAGATGCAAAAGAAAGAATAACATGCCTGGGTACTTTTACTTTTACTTTCTGGCAATGTAAGTATTTTATTTTTAAGATATAATAATAATAAATTTAAGAATGTGTGAATATTTACATTGGAATCGACTTTTTCCCCCCTAACAAATAGTGCAGCGCGGCAGGATATTTGCTTATACATCTTCCTGAATAATTGCTGTTTCTCAGGGATAATAAGTGATTTAGTTCAGGAGCATTAGATAGATGAAGTGATTATAGTGCAATTAAGACCTCAACCAAAGCCAGGCCATGGAGTTAACACAGGATCAAAGCTGTCTGTCTGCAGTCTGAGGACTGTGTGCATTAGCACCGGAGCAGCCGGTGCCATCTCTCTTTCATTTTCTTTCAGATCCCAAGGAGCTGTTGCATTAGTTACCAGGCAACAGAGCGTGTGTCTAATTACTAAAGGATAGAAGGATTTAGCAAAATAAAGTGCTTCTTTCCAAGATGGAAATCTATTTTTAAATGTGACGCCCACCACTGGTAGATTTAGAAGTGTAACATTGTGAAGTAACTCATGATCTCATGATCTTTTTCAGATGACAGCTCTAATGGTCAAGGGGCATGATGACAATAAAGCCTTTTGGAAGTGGTGCCCTTTAAATATTGCCCTGTGCGCTTCAACAGCCCATGTAAACATCCTAATTTTAAAAAAAGAAACATAATCTCAGCAACTATGAATCATGCGAAGCTACTGAAAATTCCCACACTATGTTAAGACTTGAAGTCATTCAGTTGTTTGTTTATATGAGGCTGAAGCAGTGAGAGCTGAGGTAAACTGTGGAGTGCTGCCAGACTTTTCTTCAAGCCTCCCAGCTCCACAGCCTGTCTGCAAGGCAGGGCGACTCCCAGGTGACTCAGGGCATGAATTGAAGGCAGGGAGCCACAGAAAACAAATGACAGTATGTCGTTTTAAAAACATGTTGCCTTTATTTTTTCTAACACACTGAGACTTGTTAGTTTTGTTAACCTATTAAATGCAGGAGGATGTTTTCCAACTGAAGAACAAAAAGCTTAATGGATTTATGCTAGGTAACCAGCATTGATGTGCTTTTACCTCTTTTTCTTTTAATGGAAAAACAAACTGAACCAACAAAGCTGACGAAGGAGATTATGTTTGATCTCAACACTTCTATATAAGATTCAGTTTACTGGGGTTCAGTTAGCAGATCTTCTCCTGATTTCTAATCCCTGACTCGCAGCCAGAAACCATGGCAGGCTATAATAAATGAGAGTAGCTCTGGAAAGTGTTACTATTACAGCATTACCACATTATAAACTGTGCTGCAGCCCATCAGCATAGAAATATTTCATCATAGGAGATTTATATCCATCCGTATATATCCATTCTCTTCCCCTTATCCAATTCAGGGTCACAGGGGGCTGGACTCTATCCCACTTGAAAGGAGGGATAGAGTCCTGATAGGTTGTCAGCCAATCCCGAGACTAACATAGAGAGACAGACCACCATTCACAGTCAGCCAATTAAGATAACATGCATTTCTTTGGACAGGGGGAAGAAGCCGGAGTACCCATAAAGAAGCCAGGCAGGCACAGAGGGACCATACAAGATGGATTTTTTAAAATAACTTAATAACTCCACAGTATTTTTTGTCATTATGTTGTGAATAGTTTTTTTTTTTTTAAATCTGAATGCTCCATCTGCCTATCACTTTGCTGCTGGACCACCTGAATTTCCCCAATGAGGGACAATAAGGGATATTTCTATTCTAATCTAATTAAACATCCCTTTTCCAAAGCATAAAAGAGCCACTAGATCCCCTTTTTCTGCCTTTATCTGCTTTTGATAACACAATAGTTGTCTGGTCATAAGGGACTGATGTTGCTGTGGTACCAGCTTTAAACATTTGTTGTTTAAACACATTGTTTGAACTGTGAAGCTGTTTGCGAATGTAACTTAACACCAAGGTGGCGACTTTCAAAACACAGCAGAATTTTTAGTTACCTGGGCCAGTAAATGTTAAAGAAGTAAAACGTGTATCACCAAACACACGCAGGATTTCTGTGCCACTGACAAAAGTTTGAATTCCCAGGTTTACTTGAAATATAAGGAAACAGAAATTGAACTTGAAATGCATATGAATAAACTTTATTCATTTAGTTGAAAATAAAGACAACACAAATGATTATTTTACAAAAAATAACTAAACATAAACCTCCCTGGACCAAACTTTGCATCCTCTATCCTAAATGTCCCGGGAACATTCCATGGAAAAGCGAAACTCAACAGCAGAAAAGTCTAATTCCATATTACAGCCCAGAGGAGAAAAAGGGGCTAATCCTCATCTTCATCAGAACTGTCATCAGAGTATCCACTGTACGGAGAGCTGGACTCCAAATGGATGCTACTGTCCGTGTCCACAGACAACACGGAGCTGAGGCTGCTATCTATGGACACCATGCTGCTATCGCTGTTGCTGTCGCTGTTGCTGTCGCTGTTGCTGCTACTGTCATCATCGGGGATCACCATCACCTCTGCAGATTCAGCTGCTGTGAAACACAAAAAGGCAAAAAGTTGCATTTTGCAAACATTTCACGAGGGACTCTCAAGCTCTTTGTCAAACTTTAAAAAGATGAGATCAGCATTGCTCTGTCTTTCAAATTGGAAACAAATCTGATGAAAACTAAAACCACCAACATCAGGACCAGACGATGCTCATTTTCACCACCACTATACCGCACATTAATACACTAACTCAACTATACATAATGTTGTAGCTCCTTCTGTAGGAAAGCTCAATTTTTTTGCAATTTTAATACAGAGAAAATGCTTCATTGTGCTGCCATCTTGTGTTTGAAAAATCCACCTCTCCTCATCACAACCCCACCTGGTGCTATAGGGTGATGATTTGGGGTTGTTTTAGAGCTACGGGACCTGGACACCCTGCGGTCTTTGAGTCGACCATGAATCCTCCGTGTACCAAGGCAATCGAGAGTGAAATACGAAGCCATTTTTTGACAGCTAATGCTTGGCTGAAACTGAGTCATGCAACAAGCAATGATCACAAGCACAGCAGCAAACTACAACAAACTGTATCTGAAAAAGAACAATTAAGGTGCAATAGCCCAAAGTCCAAACCTAAACAACTGAAATGTTACAGTGGGACATTAAGAGAGTTTTGGATAAACAAATACCCACGAACCTCAATAAACTTAACAACACTGTAAAGAACAGTGGGTCAAAATTCCTCCACAACGTGAGAGACTTAAAGTCTTACAGAAAATGGTTACTTCAAGTTATTGCTGCTAAATGACTACAAGCTATAAGCTACTGAATCATAGGGGTACACTTAGTTTTTCATAGGACTGAACAAAGTTTTATTTTTCACTATGAACTAAAAAGTGACATCAGCATATAAATCCACAGACACCCACAGATGACACACTACTGAACTCCTCCCCGTTGAATAACCCGACCGACTCAACAGCATCAAGGAAACATTTCACTGCTTTCCACTGACCTGATCTGATGACTTCATGGTCAACAGCTCGCTTATCTGAAACAAGGAAAACTTACTCTGAGTGGTTTGTGTTTGTAAGTGAAAGCAGACGTCATAATGCCACGCATGCATCTCTGACTGTATTTGATGTAGGACACCACTGTTCACGCACCTCTCACCTTTCCTCTCAGAGATGAGGGTCTGCCGCCTCGCCTTCATGTCCAGGCTCAGGTTTTCCACCATACGGTCGATGCAGTTGTCCAGCGCCAGACAGCGGGTCTGAGACTGGATGGCCTGCCGGCAGATGGGACACTCATCTTTCTTTTTGCGCCACTGATTGATGCAGTAACAGCAGAAGCTATGAGCGCAGTTCAGAATGACGGCCTGCAGGGGATCAACCAAGGTGATGACAGTTAGAGGCGTCTAGTATACAAATCAGCTCAAACACAAAACAACGTATAATAAGTTTCATAATAATTGCTTTTAAACTGTAATCAGCTCTACCTCAATGAAGAGCTCTGAGCAGATGATGCACTGAAGCTCATTCTCCAGCACTTCGGTCACTTGTGTAACTACTTCCTCTTTTTGGGCTCTTGCCTTTTCCTTTTCCTCCTGTAACAGATGAAATGGAGTGAAGCCTCGAAAGCAAAATCAGGTGGAAATATGTAAAGGGAAAAAAATTAATGCATTAATTAAATATACCTTTGTCACCTCCAACTCCTTGTTTTTGGCCAAGAGAATCTCTTCAAAGCCTTGTCGGGAGAGCGCAAGTTCACCTATCACTTTCTTTTGCTAAGGATTTGTGGAAAACAAATTCACATATTAAAATGTATTCTGCTTTACCAAAATGCAAGCACTCTAAATAATAACAGCTACTGCACACAAATTAGTTTGATCCGACATACTTCTTGCAGGGCCTCTTCAAGCTGCTTTTTTAAAAGCTCCTCTTGTTGCTGCGTTTTCTGCTCCTACAAGCATAAAAGGGTGAAAGAGAATATTTTGAGTTTTGCAATTATTTATGCAAAAATTGTATTCTTTGGATTATAGGTGCAAAAGTATTGGGCCTACACTGCTTAATCTTTGGTATTTGTGAAAGAATGGACCTTTCAAGAGAGCTCACTGAATTTGAGTGTGGTGCTATTGCAACAAGTCAAGTTGGATTTATTTGTACAGCACCATTCAGACACGAGGAAATTCAGAGCACTTTGCAGAGGAATAGAAAGACACATAACCCCCCAATATGAATGCATACTCACATACAATCATGATAAAATATAATAACACTAATAACAGTGGGAAAAACATCCAAGACTAGTTTTTGTCCATCTGCTGTAGAACTGCTCATCACCATGAAACATGCTGAAAGCGTATCAGCATATCATCCCAATATCTGTGCATCTACTTTCACACAGAGGCTGTATTTACTCTCTATGTGAGCGTAGAGGCCTCTATGTTCCTCAATGGATATGCCTCCACAGACCATCATGAACGCAACACCAAATCACTTGTGCTAAACAATGTTACAGGCAGCACAACATTTTCCAGTGTCTATCATTCGTGCTTTGGGTGAACTGCTCTCATCCGTGAAAAGGAGAGACCTACCAGTTCTGGTATTCTATAGCTAATCCCAATCGGGCACCACAGCGCAGGGCAGTGAGCACAGCCCTCAGTGGAGGACGTCAGCCCCTCAGGCCACCCTTATGAATGTCTGTTTCTGACTGTTTGGTCAGAGACACTCACACCAGAGGCCTGCTGGCTGTCAAATAACTAAAATTTAATGACAGATTTGATTTAAAATAGCATCTTACAAAGCAGTGCCAATCAAGCATGAACTGTCACTTGTAGGAGCTTTTAAAAAAAAAGTAACAACAAGACAACAAACAGAGGCTATTTTTAAAATGGGTGCTAATGAAGGAACTCCTGTACATAAAAGACACTACAACAAAACAAAACAAAAAACAACTCACCTCTAGCAGCCTTTTAGTCTCACTAAAAGACTTCTCTAATGTCTCCATCCTGTGCATTTTAGCTCTGAGTGTATCTAGTTGACCCCGCAGCTCCCTGACCTGCTCCTCTCTGAGCGGGTCAGCCTGTCGGGGCTCCCCCTCCAGGGAGGCGACCTGCCTCTGGGTGTTATCCACCTGCTCCCTTAAGAGCAGAATGTTCTGACTGTACCTGCAGACAATAAACAAGGAAAATAAAACTTCGGAGTAGTATTTTTCACTCATTCTTTTATTACTGGGTACATTTGTTTCTTATCTTGCTGTTACTCTGGCTTACATTTGCAAGTTGTCAAAGTCACGGGTAGCACTGGAGCCATCTGAAGGTCGTTCTGCTTGATGGTCATCTCTGCCAGGTCTGGTTCCCTCTGGCTTTATGTGACTGAGTCGCTGCTGACCTTTTAGCGGAGATAAAGGGCAGGGCACTGCCAAGGACTTGTCTGCAGAAGAGCAGCGGTAGAGTTTGGGCTTCGAGGTAGATGGCTCCACTTCTTCCATGGTCAATTTCCTCTTGGGCTTCTTGGATATGTGGGCAGATTTTGAAGTTACTCGCTCTACCAGTTTCTTTGCCAGGAAGTGTTTAATGTCTCTGAGGGGCTTCTGGACGACGACATAGTCAAATTCTGCTTTGTTTCCAATTACAGGAACTCCGAGCTGTATGGAGTCTCCGAGCCTGACCGGATGGGCTTCATCGGAAGGCAGACGAGTTCCATTCACCCAAACACCATTAAGACTCTGAGGAAAAAAAACAGAACCAATATAATACACTGGTACAGAAACATATTTAAAACTGAATTAACTTGAGAATTTAAATGTACTTTAAATTCACAAATGCCCAAACTTAAGCTCAGACATATTGCCATTTGCTGGAAATAACAGGACTGTAAAAAGGCATTTATGGATAAATACAAACTCATCACACAGCTGAAAGGCCACACATGCAAATATTAAGTGACCCACTAAATTTCATGGACTTTGTAGCATCTGGTGTGACCCAGAGCCGTATCCCAGCTGGGAGACAGCAGTCATTTTCATGTGGCGGCATGACAGAGGTGGTCGACAGATGTCACGAAGGTAGTCCATGTGTCTTGTACGGGATGTTCGCACAACAAGCCTACACTACTTAAACATCCTGTCTCCAAGACATTTACACATGGTGGAGAGTAAACTGTTTAAGGATATTTCCTCACACCGAAACAATTTCAGGAGCCGTCTCAGCAGGTGATTCCACTCCTTCGTGTCCAGGACACTGAAACTCTTTTCAAACATGCAACATTTTACAATGATGTCATTCTGCCGTTCAGACTGTAGGTCATGTCCACGTTAACGGTCCCCACCACAGCTTCATTCAGAGACACATACAAAAGGGATGGGCGACAGAGCAGTTACTAATTTTTGTACATGAGATTACCAAAGACTACATAGTTGAGTTCAGAAAGCAAAATGAAAGCAAGTATGAAAGACAGAGATTTATTCATGAACTGCACGCGGATAGGCTGAGGCTGAAATGGAACAAACCGACAGGTGTTACAACCGAGAGCTTACAGAGAGAAATTTTGGACTTTTTAAGCAGATCCCAGATAAAGACACTGAAATGAACCCATAACTGGAACTGGTATTTTTCCATTGTATTGTACACCAGGATGTGTTGCATAACTCAGTGCTAAAAATGAACACATTACTGATGCTTGTTGCACTTTTGATTCCCTACTGCAGAGAACTTCGAGTCAGTATCAGCGCTGGATTTGAATTCTTCTCTCAAAAAGGAGAACTTTCAACACATAAGGAGGCATGCACAGAAGATGTTGGTCCTCTTTGAATCTAACTTCATACGTAAAAAGACATTCTTATTAATGAAGTTTATCAAATCCCACCTTAGTGCTGACAGTGAACCGGACTTTAACACACTTGTTAAAGGCCAAAACAGACTAGATTTCATTCACGAGTAAGGAAGAAAAAGACAAAACTGCAGATGAAGAAATTTACACTACAAGTAAAATACCATAGCATGGAAAGTTTGCATAAGGATGCACACTGTCTTAACAATCTTTGGGGAAATGTTCATTAAATAGTAATGATAAAATATTGGCAGTTTAACTTAATCTATTTCACATTTTCAATGCCTAACATCTAATGTGATTTGATGTTGCTGTTGAAGGTCCTGAACCTTTGGCCTTCTGCATTTTAGTATACCTCAGAACATAAAACAGTATATGATTAGTATGGTATTGATGTTCACCTTTCATCTCATGTTTCTAGAGTTATAAGGGTTTGAAACTTTTGCTATTTGTCTATGTATAATTTGTGGTATCTGTTGCACAGTTTGACTTGTTGCAATACTTATTTTGCCGTTATTATATAAAGATGTGCGTGACAGATAAATACCACGAAAAGATATACAGAATAACATAAACTTCCTACAACACAAATGGGCAAAATTGGCATTCCCTGACATCCTTTTTTTGTGATGAACACATAAATACGTAAAAAAGTTGACAATGCTGATGCTCAACTGTATTTATGGCTTTATGTCACAGTAAACCAGACTGACTCAAAACTTCACCAAATGCCAACATAATACTGGTGGGTTTTAAAACATGAACCCATTCTTAGCTTTTAGATATTCGCAAACTAATTGGGTTTGGCATAATTTAGTAATATGCGCATCATGTTTTAATTTCGTGTGGCTCTATTTACTTTATCCACGTCAGCATGCCTCCCTTAGAGAAAGTGCTGCCCATCCCTGCACAGGACTTGTACCAAAGACCTCTAGCACAGCTGTAAAATATATTTCACAATAAAGCTCGTTGTCACCTTCTTGTCTGTCACTGTCCAGTGGCCGTCTTCACTTTGCCTGAAAGTGCAGTGCAGTCTGGAGATCATTAGGGGACAGGTGGGAGACAGTAGTTGGTAGGTTACATCCACACCACGTCCAATGGTGATCTGTACAGCCCAAAATAAACATGTTAGTTAGCTCCAGTCTGCATCTCTCCGGTTTTATAAAAACGGACAGGGACACTCTTTAGCTTAAAACACTTCTTAATTATTAACCATAAATTGGGGGTAATGTTCCCCCAACATGTAAACTGGAATCTGCCGTGAACTTCAGCAAGCTTCATGTTAGTATAAATATAGCACGTTAGCTAACATTAGCAAGCTGCACCTCTGTGTTTTCGAACAAGCGAAGCCAGTCTGAGTTCCTCCCGACTCTCATCAGACAAAAAACCTCCGAGTCCGGATATTCATCGTCTTCAGCCGCACAGCAATCCGCCGCCGTCTCTTTATCCATCTTATCTCATTCTGTCAGCGGCCAAGTCGTCCGAAAGGACACCACTAGCTGCGCTGTTTCAGCTCCTCCGCCACATCCCGACATACTGGGAGAAACCGGAAGACATTTCGATTTCTTTCAAAATAAAGGCCACAGATGTGCTTCAACGCTTATCTTTGGACAGCCCATGAATCACTTGGATCCCTCTAAAATCATTTAGTTTTTTTTTTATTAATTCAAAATTTATTCAGCTTTTGCAGACCCAAAGTAGAAATATTACGGTGTCCATGAACATATTACAGTAGGGAGAAAACAAGACGTAGAGTTTTACGTGCGGGAAACGTGTCGTAAAAATTTAAGTAACTTCAATCTTGCAGGTTTCATTCTAAACAGTGTATTCACATAATGCGAATATACTGTTTATAGAGTTGCTAATAAGGTCTGGGATTTCATTGCCTGCATGACTGAGCAACCATCAAGACAAATAACTAAATAAATAAATAAATGAAATAACACTTTTAAATTTTATAATAAAAGGTAATCATGTGGACCCTGTTAGTGTTGTAATAACACATGTTTAACTTGAAACCTTTTAATTATTCCTACATATAATAAGTTTGTGTTCGTTAGCTTGCATTTTGTATTGCCTTAAGACACTGTAGACGTCTATGATTTCTCTTGTTTTGATCGGTTGGTAAGCACATTGAGTATAAGTGTAAAGAATGGTGCTATATAAATAAAACAGTCACAATCATATTGTATTTTATTATAAATATTATTTGGGGGAGTTTCGTTGGAGCTTGTGTTTACTGTTTTTTAAAATTCAAAACAGTGTAGTGAAAGATCCTTATACCTAAAAATAAAAACATGAACACTGTTACTTTGCAGTATTTTAACTGTAGTACTGCTTCATAGCTGTTGCTGGTGTATACAGTTGTTAAAAATCCCTGCACCTTTAAATAAAATAGCTCTTCTTTCTCCCCGCAGCACTCAAACCTCAAACGCGCCGCGGTGCTCTTCGCCCATTCGGGCGACCCCGAGTCCCGAAACGCGCGCACCCCGAGCTCCAGGCGGGACTTCCTTTCTCCTGCGGATGCGCTGATATTAGGGTAAGCAGGCAGAAAGGGCTTGGTCGGAGTGTCACCGGTCTATCCGCGCGCCTCTGGACAGCAGATGACCTGGCCGACGACTCCGCTGCCGCTGAAGCCCCGTAGATGAATCTCCTCCTCGGCTATGCTGCCCTGAGAGCGCCGCGAGTATCCGCCCCGCCAACATGTCTGATGTCAACAAGACTATTCAGAAATGGCACGCCAGTTTTAAGAAAGGCACAGACTTTGACTCGTGGGGACAATTAGTGGAGGCTATAGATGAGTACCAAATGTAAGTTGCATTCAACATGTGTGTCCTGTGTGTCCACAGCGCTGGTTTAACCCGAACGCAGTCCGGGCGCTGTGCTTCTTCTTCTTTTTTTAAAAAATGATTATTTTTTCCTTTTCTGGGTCGCCTGTCCCTAAAATCTGCGGGGAAACATGTAGGAGACAGTAGGTGCAAGAAGTTAGCCCGTGTGCTGTCAGTCAGCTCTCGGAGCAGTAAATAAACCCTACCATCCATGACGTGATGTGGCAGTTGTTGCAGTGGGGAGCAGATGTGTTGCCTGATGCATCCTAGCTCTGTCCACAGCAGCACTTTAGAGTTTAAGGGAGAGTCCGTCCATGTAGCCTGTCATGGAAAATCGGTCGGAGCTGCGAGCAGTCTGTTTCATTATGTGTCATGCAATGCAGAAACGGGCCAGTATTCCTCAGAGTGTTGGGAAACAGTCAGCCACACCCTCTCATTGTTATGGGTGGGTTTCATCTGCTGAGTGAGGAATGGTTTCTGCTTCTCAGACCAGATCTTTGTCTTTGCAATTTCCTTAAAATGCGCCCAGCTTCTCTCCCAGTTAATAGTTTATTTAAAACTGCACTAACAATGCAAAAATCTAGATCACTGCAGCGGCTTCTACTGTCCGCAGGGGGGCGCACAGACACACACCTTACCTTATAGGAGTCTTGCAGGGTCTTGCAGTGAATCATTAACGCGTCTAACTGTGTTTCATGTGGGTTTGTTTAGTTTGGCAAGACAACTGCAAAAAGAAGTCCAGTCAACAAATTCATCAGACTTCACCGAAGAGCAGAAGGTAATCATTACATCCGCCTGCAGCTTCTGCACCGGAGTGCCTGTCACTTTACTTAAACTAACGAGTGTTTTTTTTTTCTTTTAAAGAAAACTCTGGCAAAGATTGCAACATGTCTGGAGATGAGAAGTGCCAGTTTGCAGGTTTGTATAGGAGTCTGCGTAATTAGTAGCTACAAAAAGGAGGCCGTATCCAGGTTTTCAGAGATGCTGAGGTCATCGTTATTATATAAAAGTAAAATTTGAGCATCGGCAGTTTTACTTATGCATATAACACTTTTGAAAGTGGTCTTGAGCAATAGTTCTCCAGGCTTTCTGAAGGTCTTTCAAAGTTTGTCTTTGGACATTGGCCAATGGTCAGGTCCACTCCTTGTACCTGACCATTTCCAAAGGGAAGTTTTTCCTTGTTAAGTCACTTAACACTAACCAGTGACTCATTCAAGCATAAAAAGGCACCTAATTCAAGGGGTAAAACGGTCTTGTATCTACACATAACAGGCAACTTAGCAAATAAATGATTTAAAATGTTATCTTTAGACACTTTGAGTTTTAAAAGGCATAAAATTGTGATTGTTGGACTAAGTGATTCCCAAAGAGCTATAACTGAAAAGGTGTCCTTAAAATAAGATAAGGAAAAGTGTCAAGTATAGAAGAAAAGAAGTGAGAGGCCTAAAATACAAAACAGTACTTCAAAGCCTTAAGAAACCAGAAAAAATCCATCAAAAACCTGACACATGGACCTGAGAGATCCATCTGACCCTTCAGCTGAGCCATGTACTGTTCAACAAAGCCTCATCAGAAATGGTCTCAGTGGAAGGGTGGCTGTCAGGAAGGCGTTCTTAAGGAAAGGAAACGGGGAGGAAAGGCTGAGGGATGCCAAATTAAACAAGAACTGGACTCGAAATCAGTGCCAAAAGGTTTTATGGAGTGATGAATCCAAGTTTGACATTTTTGGTTCAAATCATCATCGGTAAGTATAGAAGGGGTCAGGAGAGAGGTGTAGCGGTGGGTGTCTACACCCATCTGTAAAACCTTGTAATGATTTGGGGCTGCGTTTCTGCCAGTGTGCATTAGGGATCTTGTTAAAATTGATGGAATAAGAACACAGAAAAGTACAATCAGATTCTGGTCCGTCCAGAAAGTGTTTGATAATGGCGTTATTTTTCTGCCCAAACACACTGCCAATGCAGGAAAAGTATTCCTGAATAGAGAAACACACAAAGAGTCACTGTCAGTCATGGATTGACCTTCCCTGAGCCTGAACCTCAACATTAATGTGAGATAAGTGTGAGATCGTCTCACGTTGAACAGAAGACGACCAACTTCCAAGAAAGAGCTGTAAATGTCATTCAAGAAGCCTGGAGAGCTGTTTCTGAAGACTACCTAAAGAAACCATAAGAAAGCTTGACTAAGAGACGTCAGTTCATGATGAATAAAAGTGATCATAAATCTTGGCTTTCAAGCTCGTTAGAGTTGTTTTTGCCTTGTATGCTGTATGTTTACACACTTTTCTATTTGTCATTATGAATAAATTAGGGGTGGCTCAAGACTTTTGCACAGCGCTGCAAAAAATTACATTTTTTCCTGAGGAAAAACAAATACTGAACATATCTTTTGTCTGGGTTTCTTCAGTGCACTCAGTCAAAGGAAGAGTTCAACTTAGAAGACCTGAAGAAACTGGAAACCAGTAAGTGTATGACTGGGTTTTTTCCTGGCTCGAAATGGGCCTCTGAGGGGCGACTTTGCAGAAAAACATGATTGGTGTGTGTACAGTAAAGGTGCTGAAACTGTGTGGCCTTATTTGACAGAACTCTACATGCATTTCTGGGCATTTTGCAAACAAATGTTTATTACACTTTAGTAAATGAAAGACGAATTTAAAATGTTGATCTGGTGATTTTTCTTTTTTCCTTTTGCTCTGGCCTGTGGAAACAATTTCTCTATGAAGGAAAAACACTGATGGACAATTTCCTGGATATTCTGACATGTTTTAATAGTGATATAATCAATCTAACTCCTTTTTCTTCAACAGTAATTAGAAATGTACTCACCTACAACAAAGAGTTTCCATTCGATGTTCAGCCGGTGCCGTTAAGGTAAAAATCCATCACTGGTGTTATTACTGCTTTGGGCTCGTGCTGCATGTGTCATTGTGTCTCAACATTACTGGATTTACAGATTTTTGTGAATTAATACAATAAAAGAATAACTAATAGATCAACATGAGTCATGTAATCACACACAAGCGTTGATAATTTTATCTTCAGGTCTCTAAAAAAAAAGTGTGTCTGTGAAGGGGGTCACACGCTTTAAATATTTTCCTTACAGGGATATGTAAACTTTATCAGTCCAATGAATCAGGTGTTTTGGGGGGGCGGGGGCGGGTTTGTGTTCCTTGCCATCAGGAAAATCTTTGCTCCAGGTGAAGAGGAGAACCTCGAGCTGGAAGAGGAGGAGGATGCCACAGCGGGAGCAGGTTCAACAGAAGCTTTTCCGCCACGGGCTCCTGGTGCGTTACACCTGTTTATCACCTGCTTGAGTTCACATGTCATTGTTACATGTTGTCGTGTTTTGGAGGATCATCTGACCGTGTGTGTTTGCTTCTTTTTTTTTTGTCTTTTCTGTTGGTGCCGTGCATGGCTTCACCGCTCATTCCCGCCTGCTTCATTAGCAGCTTTGCAAGGTACAGCTTATGAATGAAAGGCGTTTGAATCTGTCCTCTATTGCATGACTGTGAATAATCCTGCCTCATTCAGAGTTAATTTTAGAACTAGATGCGTATATGTGACTGGAAGGTGAAGTTAATGATTCACTCTTTCACCAACAGAAAGCTTTTCCACTGATCAAGGTAGCCTGATTCCATCAGCTTTGGCCAACCGGTTTTTTTTTCAGAGCTCATTTATTAAAATCAGAAATATTTCCTTTATTAGAGTTAAGTACTTTATGGTAAATGTGATGATTTGGCTCTGAGATCATTTCTGTCCTCAGAGGATGCGTTATACCCAACCTAACATCTCCTTGTTCCATCATCATTCCAAAGTGAGGTTTCGAAAACTCTAAATATACAGTTGTGGTCAGACGTTTATACATAGTCATCATGGGCATGAATGTCATGGTAATTTTGGGCTTTTAATAATTTCTTTGACCTGTTATTTTTCCAGGGTGGATGGATTGTACAGCATGCAGCTTTAGTGACTTTAAAAAAGCAAGATTTGCTTGCACAAATTTTTATTTCTTTGGTATTTTGTCGAATCCACACAGGGTCCATGCACCTGCAATGACATTTTGTTAAATGTCCCTTAAGTTGCACCTTAAGCAGACGCTTTTGGTAACCACCAAGAAGCTTCTGGCATAATTCTAATTGGATATTTGAACACTCTTCTCAGCAGAATTAGTAGAGTTTATTTAAATTGCTTGATTTCCTGGAGGAGAGCTGGCTTTTAAGCGTAGTCCAAAAATAGGGAAGTTTATTTTAAGGGCTGCCTGCTTCTCATTTTCCTAGTTTTGATTTGCATTGGGGGAACATTGTCCTGTTGGAACACCCAACTGTGACAAAGTTTCAACCGTCTAGCTGCTGATTTGAGGTTAGATGGAAGGATTTGGAGGCCCTAGAGCGTGATGCTCGACAGTCGGTACAATTTTCTTTGGTTTGAAAGCCTCACCGTTACGACCCCAAACATACCTCTTGTCATTGTGGCCAAATAACTCAATCTCTGTCTCGTCTGACCATAACAGTTTTCTCCAGAAGGCATTTGGCTTGTTCATGTGGTGCAAATTTCAGTTGAACTTGAAGGTGTGGGTTTTGGAGCAGGAGCTTCTTTTTTGGTCAGCATCGTCTCAGTCTATGATGATTGTGTCACCGTGGACAGAGATGCTGGTGTTTCAGACGTTTCCAGTTCATGTGAAGTTTGCGCCTCATTGGTTCCTGGTTTTAAGTTGTTTGATCCAGGAATCTGCAGTTGTTTAGAAATTTCTCCAAGAGACCTTCTTAACTTGATCAATCTAATGAGTCCCGTCAAACAAATCTTTGTTTTATGCCGGCAAAGATTTTCTGCTAGTTGTAGTCAATAACAACTGCTAACGAGAAGTTAGAAGGCCTCAGCCTTGCTAAGTTAAAAGACATTGTTGATTGTATGCGGATGTATGTATAGATTTGAGCCTGTTTGTATACCTTTGACCCTATGGAGATGAGAAAAAATGCAAAATATATTAAAACTTGTGTTATTAAAGCTGAATGCTGCACTATTATTCTATCCTGGAAAAAACAGTTCACAGAAACTATTAAAAAGCCAAAAAACTACCACGGCATTCATGCCCATGGTGAGTGTGTGAGAGTCATTGATGACCTTTTCTAAAAGCGTTCACATAGGATGCTGCGAAATTTGATCCAACAGAAAAGAAGCACAATAAATTCTGTGTCCAATTTAATCATAATGAAACCAAAAGTACGTGAGATTCTCGGGATGGGGGCGAATAGAGGAACCCATATTTTTGTGCTTACAATAGCTCAAACTATATATAAATGTGAGTAATGTACAAGGAGCAGCAGACTTCTTGGCTCAAATCCCAGCAATTACTTGCAGCCCCAATTTTAAATGAGCCTTAACTTTGATTTAAGTAGTCACAAGGGCTTAAAACACATGTGCAGGACTGCCAGTCAGATCCATTAAACTCCACAGTGTACGGTGGGAAACTTTGCCCCCAAATTAGGGTCAAAACGACAACATAATTTGGTCACGTGTTTCCTATTTCCACTGTTGATTGGCTCGTTGGCTGTGTTGTATTCCCTTCTGTTTTAATGTGTCTTTATCTTCTTTCAGATGATGGTTTTTGGTTCACAGCTACAGCTTTGATATTTTTTTGGTTCACTTTATTTCCTCTCGCCAGCTTTGTTTCCTGCTGTAGTTCAAACTTTATTTAGCTAAAGAGATTTAAACCTCTGTAAACTAACTTCTCACTGGCAAACTGCCTGTAGACAAAGGCCCAAAGACAGATATCCATCAGGAAGTGATAGGGACTTAAAGGAGAATGGATTAAACGCATCATTCCTATGGATTGATCAAAATGTGTAAAACTGGTTTGCCAAAATCCCCAACTTGAAACCAGTTTTTAAAACCAGTTCTAACTGCTAATATCTTCTGACCTTTGTCCTTTTATAGGTACCTTGTTACCACGGCTACCCTCAGAGCCTGGGATGACGCTACTTACAATAAGGATTGAAAAAATTGGGTTAAAGGACGCCGGACAGTGCATTGATCCTTACATGACCATCAGTGTCAAAGGTACAGATCCCACAGTGCACGCCTTCAGCAGGCTGGCCTGGAGTTGCTTTTATAACCTTCACAGCTGCTGCTTTCAGATTGGACACACCCTCTTTTCAGCTGTACTCCCACGCTCTCTGTCCCCTGTACATGAAAACCTCTCCGCCTTTTCCTGTGGCTGCAGATGTAAACGGTGTCGATCTGAACCCGGTGCAGGATACCCCCGTGGCCACCAGAAAGGAAGACACGTACATTCACTTCAGTGTGGACGTGGAGGTCCAGAGACATGTGGAGAAATTACCAAAAGGTAGTCCCCGCCACACTCTGGGTTCACAGCATGCCAAGTAATTTGTGTGATTTTTTTTATTTATTTTTTTTGCTCAGCGTTCTCCGAGTAGAGGCAACAGAGCTCCTGCGGGGAGGAGCGGACGACTAGAAAATAAACCTGCAGTGAAAATAAAGCTTTTTTTACACATAAACAAAAACTCCAGGCAGTCCTTCTCACATGTAGCAGATATAAAGAGATGTCTGTGTAGATTGTGCAGGAGCCAGGAAAGAAGACCACTTGCTGGCTATGAATTCTCCACACTTTACTATTAGTTAATGGTTAATTATTACTGCATAGGTGGCACCTAAGTTAATTCAATTCAATTAATTTCAGTTCTATTTATATAACGCCAAATCACAGCGCTTTATATTGTAAGGTAAAGACCCTACAGTAACCCCAACCATCAAACGCCCCCCTTTGAACAAGCACTTGGCGACAGTGGGAAGAAAAAACTCCCTTTTAACAGGAAGAAACCTCACGCACAACCAAGCCCAGGAAGAGACAGCAACCTGCTGCAAATTTAGAAATATTGTCACCTAGGATTTTGAAATTGATACCATGGGTGTATCGCTTAAAAAATCTCATGCAAGTTCTTATCTCAGTTAACTCGATCTCAAGGTCAGAGGTTATGTTTTCTGAAAATCTTGTGAATGCGATAACTTGGGAACAAGGGGAATTTGAAATTGATACAATAGGTGTATCCCTCTGGCCAGCACCAGTATTTTTCCTGATTGAATGTGACTATTAAACATATTCTCTCATATCCTCCTTTAACATTTGAGGTACGTTTACATTTTTTCCAGGAGCAGCTATCTTCTTTGAATTCAAGCACTACAAACCCAAAAAGAGGTTCACCAGCACAAAGTGTTTTGCCTTCATGGAAATGGACGAGATCAAACCCGGGCCGATCGTAATTGAGCTGTGAGTCTCACCGTCCAATGAGCGTTTTCCAGCGTGAGCTGGAGAAAAATCTTCTCTCGATTGTGGAGTGAAAACTGCTCCTGTGTTTCATTTCAGGTACAAGAAGCCCACGGACTTTAAGAGGAAGAAACTGCAGCTTCTCACAAAGAAACCACTTTATCTCCATCTTCATCAGACGTTACACAAAGACAGCTAAGTCGGAGCACGCTTCGAACCTTCGAAGGCCTCTCTCACATCCACATCCAGCAAAATGTGGTGTTCCCCCTCATCGCATCAAGCAATACTAAAAAAACAACAACAAAAAACCTGTGGTATTTCTTTTTTATTTTTTCCATGAGTATTTGAAGAAAGTAAAGTGAACAGAGCTGGGTTCCTGTCGTGTCAGCTCACACTCAGATTTTAAAGTCTTTGATTTTGTTGTGAAGTGTAGGAAATACCAAGTTTTCCAGAATCCAGAAGTAGCATGTTCAAACCACCTCATTTCAGTCTTCCGTAGCTCACTGATTTTTTTTCTTTTTTTCGGGGGGTCAGGAAGAGGCCGTGAGCATCTGCATCTGAATCCTTCAATGTTCAGTTTAGACTTTTAAGTTCGGCAAACCAAGGAAGACATGAAATAAATTAAAGACAAAACAGCCACAGCTTGTTCCATTGAGCCACAAAAGAAGTGCTTTTTGTAATCCGGGTGTATTTATGAAGTCCGGAGTGCACTACAATAATAAACTTTTATCATTTTTAGTTATGAACGGTTCATAATCACACATCTAAAACAGGTATAACAGACGCAAGAGCGACGAGTCCTGACGTTTCCTCATTTTGTCTTAAAACTAGTGAATTAACAGAAATTTAAAGGGGCACTAACCTGACAAAGAATCTGTTTACTGCCTGTCGCAGACTCTGTCTCACAGTTTTGTTTCCTGCTTTAACATTTACAGTTCCTGACATTTAGCAGCTTTGAATTAAAGGTGGCTTATTTTGCACAGATTCAGCTGCCGCCAGCTCACTAAGTAACATGTTGTAAGTTTCCCCGCTCAAAATGTCAAACTGTATCTGTTTAAACTTACACTCACTGGACACTTTATTAGGCTATATCTTCTTTTCTTTTTTTTTTTCAACTACACATCCATGATGCAAATGCCTGTGAGTTGTTCCACCACATCCTAAAGGTGCTCTGCTGGATTGAGGTCTAAGGACTGCAGAGGCCATTTGAGTGCAGTAAACCTGTTGTCATGTTCGAGAAAGCAGTTTGAGATGGTTTAAGTTTTGCGATCTGGTGTGGTATCCTGCTGGAAGCAGCCATTAGTAGATGGGAACACTGGTCATAAAGGGATAGACGTGGTCAGCGACAATACTCAGGTAGGCTGTGGTGTTTAAACAATGCTCAGTTGGTACCAAGGAGCCCAAAGCATGCCATTCCATTCACCAGCATTTGAACCAGTGTACCTAACGAAGTGCAAGTCATGCAAGAATTGTGCCATCGGAAGTAAACGTGCATATCATTTGAAAAGTACATTTTAAATTTTCATTTGTAATTAAACACTAAGCAAACTCAGTCTGCACTTCATACTGGTTTAGTGAGTAGTCACATTCAGGTTTATAATGACTCAAGTGGGGCCATCACAGGTAACATCTTCAATTTAATCAATGTTTTTTTCTTTTTAAACTTGTAGCACATGTAAAGTGATACTGGTTTTAAAAAAAATGGTTGGGTTTTTCAGAAAAAATCACAAAGGGAAACGTTTAATGTCCCTATAAATCTGACAGTGGCCACGTGTCAGCGTGGATTTAGAAACGTAGAGGGAAAGGGATGCAGCACGGTCTGCATACTGTGGAAGTGTCTCGCCATGAAGCGGATGTTTAGGACCGGTTTCCGATACGCAGTGTTGGATCACGTGCTGTCGTAACCACACAGAGGGTTTTAATCCACTGTTACGTTGCAGATTTCGTGTTGGCTCTGTGTGAATGGGATTACGTTCAGAACTGTTCTCATGCGCTTGTGCTCTTCTTTTTATTCTAAAGAGACCTCTTTCTTTTCTCGAGCTTTTCACATCTTTCTTTCCATTTTGACTCTATAGATGTTCTTCACTAAAACGTCTTGTAATTTTTGATTTTTAGATTTTATTTTTGTAATGTCACAAAAAAAATCTGGACTGTAAATTAACTGTAAGATACACTAACTGATGAATATACAGTAACCGTGTGTATGTGTGAAGTGCTCTGATGTGGCAGGAGTGAGAACTGTGGAGTGTTTTCGTTTTGGCAGAATGAAGGAAATTGTATCAAACATTTACGGCGTGTTTAATTTCTAATAAACTACAAATGAGGCAGTGTGTTGATTTATTTGAACTGATATTTTTCGAGTGAGGAAAAGTTTATACATTCATATACTGAAATAGAAAAGTTAATAACAAGGAGTGACGTGTTGCTATTAAGTATTTCAAACTCTACGAATAAAAATGTTTAATGTGAAGATGATGTAAAGACAGAAAATTGAGTTATAATTAGCACAGATCAGCACGGACGTATGACTTTATGTAGCCGAGGTATCGTGTTTTGCTTCTTTAACATTTTGTCAGATTTACAAACCAAAAAAAAAAAGGAAACAGGAAGGTTCCTGGTTCAAATCCCCTGCTTTGGCCAGGGTACTTTCTGTGCAGGTTACCTCTGGGTATTCCAGCTTCCTGAATATTCGGGTAAATGTGGTTTGTAAGGTGGTGGTCAGTAACACCATATCCAAGAATTTCCATCAAAAAGCCAACACCACAATGTTACTACCACTGACATCAATGGCTTTAGGAGGGGCTACTTGGAGAAATCTACCACCGAGTGCCAGATCCAGCCCACAAGACACCCTAGTTTCTATCACATAGCATACAATCCTCAGAGCACAAAGGCAGAAGTGGCCCAAAGCCAGCGCTGAATCTGAGATGAAGCATGAATGAGAGTCTCCTAGGACAGTGAGAAGCAGTGTGTGTATTTACTCCTTACACATTCTTTTGGTAGTGGAGTTAAGCGGAAAAAGACTGAAAACTCACATGAACTCCCACTCGAGCATAAAAAACGTCTTGGGAAGTCTGAGAAACTTTTGTTGCAGAGGTGGCCAACTTATTGACGTCATACTCAGACACACGGCGGGTCAAAGTAAATATTTGGTTAACTAAGAGACGTTTTTGATTAATGGAGCAAATTCACGTATTTCAAATAATTTTTCCCCCTCATTTTTAATTTGAATTATGGCATTCTGTTCTAACACTTTCCCTCCACATAGAGGGACCTGGATTAGCTACAAAAGTTACATTTTAGCTGTAAACCAGAAAAAGAAACCCCAGGTAATTAAATAACAAAAACTGTCATCATCACTCTGAGCAATAAAAATGCAAACACATTGTCTCTGTACGTTTTCACATTCTGACTTAAAAGCACATTAACATGTTGGTGGAACGACTTCCCAGCTCAGCAAATCAGATTAACCCAGCAGCTTTTTTGTCCTTGTCCCACCAACAGCACAATCACTGAGCAGTAGACAGCAAATACGAAACTGCAGCTTTCGGACCAACATGTTTGTATAACAGCACAGATGTACGCCTTATTTCTTCACATATATTCTTCATTGCACACCCTACAAAAAACATCCTCAGTATTAACGTACCACACACAGCTTTTATATTCTTTATTAATAAAAGTTCTACCAACATAGTAAAATAAGTTATACATCTGGCCGTCAAATTACACATTTGCTTTGAAATTTGTACGTAAAGCAAGAGCTTTGGGAAAAATCATGGTATTCCTGAAATGCTAGAAGCTAAACCTCCCTCCTGTTTCTCCATTTTAAAAAACAATTTCCACAGGAAATGACTTTTTTTTTTAAAAAAACTGCCCCTTTAAAAATCATAGCTATATAATTTTCTTAAAGATCAACACAAATGAAAATCTGGCATAAAACGAAGTGTTATTGCACAGGCTGTTTAGAAAAGTGGCAACCCTTTCAGCTCACATTTCAGACATAACTGATCATTCTTTAATCTGCGGGCCTCGCTGTAAGAACATTTGCATCTGGACTATGAAAATAATCATGATCTTTGTTTGTACTGGATCTGGGTTGTTATTGTGACAGGTTTAGTTAACGGGGGTGTTTGAGTCCTCTGCCATAGCTGGTGGCATATTTAAGGCTTGACCATTTCTGGCCTGGCTGAGTCCTGAGGGGCCTCCTGCTTCATGTGCAGGTCTTGTCTGGGGACGCTGTGAGCGGCTACAGAGTTCTGGAGGGCATTGGGTGCAGGCGGGCCATAAGCATCACCAGGATGTGCTGGATGAGGCGGGGCACCTAGAGGCAGGTCCACAGGTTGGCCAGGGTGGTCACGTGGTAATGGGAAGCGCATGTCAGGAGGGAAGGGTGGACGAGGTCCCATGGGCCCACGGACACCTAAACAGGAAAATCGCAGGGAAATGATGGTCACACAGACAAAAAAGACCAAAGACCAGGTCTGTACTTCTTTCAGGAAATAAAGAAGCCTTTGCCTTCTTCTGCCTCAGGGTCTTCTTACACAGACTTTAGTAGCCCAAGTAGATGAACAGGGACCAGAATATATTCTGCAACTCAATTTTTTTCTTTTCATTTTTAAATCAGCACCAAATTAGCATCTGCATTTCATTTACTTGTGGACAATCCCCTCCCACCTATTCTGAAAGTTCAGCTACTGCTGACCAGCTCGCCCCGGCCCTTCCTGTTTCATGTTAGTCAGCCAGGATGAAAACCACAGCAGCAGATTATGTTATTTGCCATTTTTAGAAGGGAAGCATAAAGTTGGCATTATTTAATAAGAGATAAGCATTGTGTATGTTCATCTCGTAAGTCAAAGGAACCCCCCAGCTGCTACAAACAGAATCTAAATCTGCCAAAAGCTGAGTATTAGAAAGCCAGAATGCCACCTTAAACTAGTTAAAACCGAAGAGTTGATAAGGCGAACTATATGAATGGCTTCCCTGATCAGTTTATTATATTTTTTAAGTCCAAGTAAGATTGGCTTGTATGACTAGAAATTAATGGTGGCAAATGTGAGAAAATGTCATGTATAAACATTAAAAAAAAAAAAATATATATATATATATTTTTGTTAAAGCCGTAACTCCTCTCATCATGTGGTACACTGCACTACTTTCTGCTCATTTACCATCATGCTATTATCCGCTTTGTTTATGAATGGCTGCTCTTCATCAAATTTTAAGCATTGCAAGCGGCTACAAATGGAGTCCATTTCCGGGCTTTACCATAACACTGCCTCTACTTCAATCTATCTGGCCTCACTCAACTCCACTGTGAATCATGTCTAATAGCTTGCTGCTCTTCTTCTGCATGATGAATTGGAATCTGAATCTGAAGAATACTGAAGATGATGACAACAGACTGTCTGTTGGCAGTTCAACTGATCTAAGTATGTCCCAGAGTTTGTGTTTTACTAGAAATGACAGTTTTCCAATTCTATTTTACTAGTATTAAGCAAAGTCGTATAGATGAGTTTGTCCTGTAAAGAGACTCATCCACCTCTCAAATGGCTGAAGTCATGACAGAGAGCATCTTTAGCGTGGTTTTCAACAGCTGGGGACATCATCTCAAAGATATGTCCACTGCAATCATGAATTCATGAACTGAAACATCTTGAAATGTGTTATTTTGGACTAGAAAATAAATCTTTTTGATTTAATCTTTATTTGACCTTATGGACAAAAGCCATTTTTAGTTTCCTATTTGCGCGTTATTTTTATTTTTTTACATTTTTTTTTTATTTATTTCATTTTTATTCTGACGGTCCTGTTGAGTAATGTTGAAAATATATTTGATTATTTTCAAATTCATGCTTCCTGGGTCATTTTAATTTGTTGAGGGAAGTGGAGATAAGAGTTATGGAAATAATTGTTGACTAATCAAAGAAAAATTGGCAGCTTAGTCGACTACATAAATAAACGTTAGTTACAGCCCTACTCAGTACAACTATAACATTTTAATGAACTTTTCCCATTTTGGCTAAAACTAAAATGAGAAAGTCTGGCATATAAAGAGGTCCACATCAGGTTTATATGGACCTAAAAATATAGTGTTATAAATATAACAAAAAGTTGAACGTACCATGTGGAGGAGGCATCGGTCCAAAGTGATGAGGTGGAGGGGGACGGAATTGCGGTGGGAGCGGACCCCGGGGATCAATGCCTGGGCCAGGGCCTTGCCTGGGGGGAATTGCAAGTCCATTGGGGGGTCCAAACTCTCCTCCCATTGGTCCAGGCAGGGGCATACCTGGGTGTCCATTAGCTGGTAGGGGAGGACCTTGAAGAAGAGGAGGGCCAGGTGGGAGGTGATATGGGCCAGGTCGCGCTGGTCTGTAAGCTATGGGTGGTGGCAGACGGCCAGGAGGGAGCATTGGATCATAGGGTGCAGGACCAGGTGGAGGTCCGTGGACCATGGGTCCAGGTGAGTCCCTGATTGGTGATGCTATGAAGGATCCTGGACCCTGGAAAACAAACAAACATGACAATTTGAAGTGACAACTTTCATGAGAGTATAGATGGGCTAACACTTTGTCATGCAGTGAAGTGATCCAGAAACCACACAGTGCATTTAGCCAGGGTTTAATCACATGACCACTAACCACACACCATGGTTATTTGGATTAAAAACAAGCCACTTTCATAGCATCTTGATATATGACACACATACTCTGCAATTTTTCATAACCCCAGTATTTTCAAGACACATTTTTGAGTTGCTGTTTCTTTCAGTGCAGTGAGATGAAAAACACACTAAGCCTAAAAAAATGTTTAGTCAGCCCCAGAGAAAAAGAAGAGCCTTTGATCCCCTTCCAAATCCAAATCCAGCTTAAGGGAAGAGGATGTGGAGTGCTTCCAAACACCTTCACACCAACACCTGGACTGACAGCATCTGTACTCACTGCCTCTGGATTCTCTGTGGTGACCTCAGCCTTAGTCTCTGTTTTTATCTGTGGATCTACTGCTTGCGTCTGTTTCAGATTAGGACAAACAGTGGAAATGCAGCAGGAGCTCTAAGTCTACACATGAAAGGAGAGATGGCATCACATAAAAATGGGTTTGATATGATTAAAAAGAAACTTACAGATGCATCCAAGTTGGCTGGAGATGAGCTACGTGGGCCCATCATGTCTGAAAGAGGGGAAACCGTACTGCATTAATAACAGGTTCAAAATAAACACAAAACCTTCGAAATGCACAAACTGCAGAGGACATACCCATCCCAGAGATGTGTTTTTCAGGGTAACGACCATGGGGATCTGATGGAGGGCGAGGACCTGAGGGTAGAAAAACACAAAACTATGAATAACCAAAACTCCATGGAGCCCCTTCGCAGGGAAAACACAGTCGCAACACACAGAGTAAGAGGAAACAAAGAGACTGTACACCCTAGGAAAAAAATAAAAAAAATAAATCAGAGGTACAAAAAAAAACAAAACCCCAAACCCTTGCATTTAAATGAAATCATCTTTGATTTCTAAGAATAACTTATTCACACATACACATACAAATTCAGAAAATCTTCTTCCACAATCTAATCTTGTTTTTAATGAAACAAAAGCAAAAGCACATTTCAACAGAAACAAGCAAATGATCCAACTGGAAGGGGAGGGAGGGTGAAAATAAGAGCTGGTACCCGAAGGAATCAGGATGCAATACACACTAGGAAAAAACATAAAAGGAAAACTTGAGGTGAGAGAGCTGAAAAGAAAAATAAAGTCAGGAGGGAAAGAGGAGAGAGATGAGGGTGTAACGGAGAGTGATGTTCCACTTGGGTAAAAAGGAAGTGGGGGAAGCAATCCACTTGGACTCACCAAACGGGTCAATTCTCCGTGCAACTGGGGCAGAAGGAGGACGCCTGGGACCCTCAATCATTATAGGTGGGGATGGTGCACCCCCACTCACAGGAGAGGGCCCGTATGAGTCACCTGTTACAATTGAACCGTCAATTTACCAAAAGAAAAGAACTGCAGCTGACAAAACAACACAAGTCATGCAATAAAGAGGGTCACTTCAGGGTCTCCAAGAAAAATCAAGCACATGAACAGGACAAATACACAATCAGAACACATATGAGGCAAAACTGGAGCCCCCCTGCCCCGCAACAGAAAACAGTATTATCTTCAGTGGTTCTTCGGGATGACAGCTGAGCTGATGGAAACAAAATAGAGGGTGAGATGTGCCTGCTTACCTTGGCGAGGGCCTGCAGGCTGACCAGAGTTTGGTCTGAAGAGAGGAGCGCGGCGCTCATTGAGCTGAGAGGTGAGTACAGCCAATCTGTGAATAGGAAGAAAAACAGCTCAGATGCAGTTAAACTGGGCTGTGACTAATGGCAATTTTAATTATCTGATGAAAATGTAACAGAGCCAGTGGTGAAGTCATTAAATAATTTCACAGTTTGTCCAAAAAAACCAAAAACAAACAATCAATAGCCTCCAATCTATTCAGCCTGAAGTCACATTAAGCAGTAATAGGAACAGCTATGATGTGAGGTAACGACTAAACATTTTCAGGCTTTCGCAACTTCCTGTATAGAAACAGCCTCATTATGAGTAACAAACAAAATTTCTGATACTCCAGAACAACAAGGAAGCTTTAACAACTGCCAAAACTCACTTTTCACGAAGCTTTGATGATTCGAGCTTCTCTTGGTTTAGAGCTCGCTCTGCATTACGAGCGTTCACCTGCAGGCAGCACAAAGAAGCAGAGTAATGCTTTAGCTCAATATTAATCTTATGCAGACTGAATAAATTATTTATCGCATCTGTAAATAAACGGTGTGGAAACATACCCAGTTTGAGTGAGTTTTGTTCTCCTGCTCTTTGATCTAAAGAAAAAAAAATCCCATTCAGCCGAGATTCAGATTGGAGTAATGTTTTTATTTTGTTGGCTAATCTGAAAACGTTAAGATAAAAAACAAACAAACACACAGTCTACCTGCTCTTTGTAGACTTCCTCAGTCTTCTTCATCTGGTCCTCCATCTCATTAATGCGCTGCCTTAAAATTTTAACCTGCTCCTCAGCTTCAACAGCTTTCCCTCCAACCTCCGACAGCAGATTCTCTTTGCTGCGCCGCTCCAGCTCCTCCTTCGTTAATTTCCTGTGTGCGCAGAGAAACACAGTAACTCCCAGTCCTTCTACAAATCACAACTGATGAGAGGTTTCACTTACTCATCATCATCATTCATGGTGTAAAGACAGCAAGTAAAATTTACAACTACAAAAATACAGAAGACTTTCAGACATTCACGACAGGAAGTAACAATTTCGAATCTGCTGAAGACTTCACTTACTGCTGCAGGGCATTTTCCTTCTGCTGATACATTTCGACCATGATTTCGTTTTTCTGCTGGAGGATCTTGAACTGGTTTTCAATGTGGCTCTTCTCACTTTTCAGGGTTGAGATTGCATGTTCAAGCTCCTGGTGTTGCTCTGTTTTAAAATAAAACAAAAAGGAGTTTAGTAGGATGCAGATACCCAACTGAATTACACAACTTCTTAACCCTTGTGTTGTCCTCGGGTCAAAAATGACCCCTAGGTGTATGGCAAACAAGTGTATGGGAATCCCGAGGACATTAAAAAAAATTCACAAAGCACCTTCCATTGCCTTCCTGGACTTCTCTTCATTCAGTAGTTTTGTCATGAAGCGATCCCGCTCTTCTTCAACTACAGCAAGAGTGGTCTGAACCTGTAGGGAAAAATACAAGAAAATGCAATAACATTTAGAAACCGAACAATCCTCTATAAACTAAAATATAATAAGCTTTACAACATCTGTTGATATCTCACCCTAGAAACATCCATCATCTGTTTGATTCTGTTCTTTACGGCCGTCTTCTTGTCTGTAAGAGACACTGAAAGAACAACAAAACACTATATTATTAAACAGCGGTTAATGAAACTACTCGCCGTATTTCATCCATAAATATTCTGATAAACTACAAACTTACCAGGTGCTACTTCACCATTGGCCAAAACTTTGGTGTCACCTTTTTGTAAATCACAAGCTTCCAGGTCAGACAGAAGTTCAGACAGCACCTGAAGTGGACATATTGTGCAAGAATGAGACAATTTCATAAATAAATAAATAAATAATAACAAAAATCAGGAAGAGTTATGACAGTAGTTAGTGAAAAAAAATGACCTCCACATTGTGATCTTTGAGCACCACAGAGTCCTCCAGTTCTTTCTGGGACTTCTGATAGACTTTAATCTTCTCATTAAGCTCTGTGTGTTTTTCCTCCCAGCTTTTAATGGTGACCTTCAGCTGTTAGAAGAGGCAGGGTAAAAAGCATAAATTAAATCTGATTAGGTATTCAGATTAATGACAATATAAAAGAGAAATATCCATATCTGTCTTACTGTTTTGTTCTCGTCCTTTAACGCAGCAAACTCTTTTTCAAGACATTTTTGTTGAACGTTTCGGGCATCTTCCCGAATCTTGGCTTCATCCAGGAGAACAGTAGTCTATGGATGAAAGAAAACAGTTTATAAGATAAATTAAAGCTAAAAGGTCACAGTAACACTACAGAGTTTGCAAAAAAAAATATCCCAAAAGGATTTGTACCTTAGAGAGCGCTTCCTGAATCTTTTTCCTGTTAGCTTGTAGCTTCTCGTTTAACTTCTCCAATTTCTCAATCTGTTAAAAATAAATAAATAAATAATTGCAGCATGAAAGAACGCAAATAACAACGAGCAGAAAGCAAATGAAACACTTACTCTTGTTTCATTTTGGAGAGTGTTTGCCCGCTCTTCCTGCAGTAGCTGTCCGTATTTATCCTTTTCCTCGGCCATCTGTTTATTCAATGTTTCAGCCTGTAAGACTTTACTCTGCAAACAGTAAAGAAAAAAAATTTACGACAACCCTTCGACAAATAACTGAGTGTCAACAAAGATTCAACCCGGTTACATAAGACTAAATACATATGAGAAAGACTCTTACTGCTTACCTCTAGCTCTTGCATCTTTTTCACTGTACAACTAACAGTTTCCTTTGACTGTTTTTGATTTTCTTTCAGTTGTTCAGTCTTTTACAAAAAGAAGAAAACATGAATCAGATGTGTTTTGTTTGTTTTTGTCCAGGAGAAACTCAACAACATTTCTCTTTCTGGGGCTCACCTGTTTCTGGAGTTGAGCCATTTTGGCAAGAGCTTCATCCTTTTCCTTTTTGTGCACCTGGATTTGCTCTCTGAGTCTTTTTTCATCCACTTTTCCCATAACACAAAGCACACAATCAATGAGGCCGTACACATATGCATTTTGTCATGTTGTGCAAAAATTATAACTGAAAACTTACCGAGGTACTCTTTCTTCTTTATCTTTAAAAATAAAATTTAAAAAATCCATTTTAAATCTTACAGTGTATAATTTCATCCAACAATGACCTAAATATGGAAGGTTTTATACTGTGTATAACTCAATCCAATGGGAGTATAACCCAGGGGGATACAAAGCCTTATTAAATCAAAGCTCATACAAATAATAATCGCATTTTACTGGCACCAAATAAACAGAGCAGCAATATCACAACACTTACTGCCAGCACAGTCCTCCAGAAGAAGAGGGTGAAGGTCAATACTCCAACCAAAGCAGTGATGACAACAGCTTGCCAAGGACAGCCAAACAAAGTTTCTCCTGGCTTCCACTCTTCTGGCAGCAATGAAATCATCTGAAGAGACAAAAAAAACAACAACCCCACAACCACAGCTTTAACTCTGGAGAACGAAATTAAACTGGAAACAGATGGTTAAACTAGCACTATGCAATTCAATTATATCGATTTCTAGTTACAAACACAGCTTTCAAAAGTGTTGAAAAGAAGATTGAAAAAGAAATTGATTGAAAATTATTTTCATAGTGATGCTCTTATTTTGTCTTATAACTTGATTGCACTTTTCCTTTCATATTCTCATTTTGCCTATCACAACATCACTTTTTCCTCTCAGTAAAAGCTTAAGTTCAGGCTATTGCATGAATACTTTGGTTTACAAAAATGTTTGTTTTTTTTATTTAGCTCAAAGACACTTAATTAAAAAGAGACAAGAGAGTTACCATGTTTCAAAATGTATCAAAATAATTATGACTATAAATCTGGCTGCAAAATAAATAAACAAAAAAGCCCAATGGAAACACAAACTAGACAATATACAATAAAAACACTGCAGAAGCTCTGATTAAACATCAAATTAAATCTACCGTTAGACTAACACACTGCATACATTTACCAAACTATGACACATCAGTAAAGAGTCATCTGTAATTCAAATCAGCACTCATTACAACCAAGTTTAGCAAGAAGAGCATCTCTGTCCCACAACGAATCTTAAGGCTGAAAGGCTACTGCAGCAGCAGAAGTGCCACTCTTGTAAGCTAGAACAGGAAACTAATGATATGACTGACATGGGCTCAGCAGGATTGGACAACAGAAAACTGGAAAACATTGCCAAGCCCCCAAGTATTTATCTAATAAAGTGGCAGCTGAGTGTATGTGATAAAGGACACAGGATCGATATAAAAACACAAAAAGATTAGTCTACACTCTCAGTTTAGTCACCAAAATAATACTGTTGGTTATTTATTAACATAAAAATAACGTGTTTTTCTACATTGTTCTATACATACATTTTGAAGTGATGTAGCATTTCATACATTACTTGATTAGGGAGCAATTCATACTACAAGCTTTTCTCTTTCACAAGCTAGGTGGGTTTCACTTTATAGTTAAACTAGCTTCATTTATGCCCAGTCATACCAAACCGAGCATATTAGTCCAATCACAAAGAAACCTTTGAACTCCCCATGAGACAACAGTAGCAAACACATACATGCTCTCACTCCGTGGCTCTAATAAAATACAGGGATTACAGCTGCCTTAATACTAATGGCAAATATTAAAAGCCTCTCTTCAATTTACTGCTTTTCAGTTCTAAATGTTCAATACAAATTCAACAAAGGCTGGGCTGTAAGAAAAGTTAGATAGCAATGAAAAGGGCACAGGACAGTGAAAGGTCTTCAATCAAATATACAAAACCCGGTCGACTGCTGCTAATGCTAAAGGCAAGTTTGGTGAGTAGATTTAGGACAAGGAACCGTCCAAGTCATTATCCATCAGCCACCTGCTAATTAACACGTCATGGTTAACCTCACAGGCCGTGACAGCGTAAATAATAATATTCATATAGGTGTCAGTCTGGCTTTTTTTTTTTTTTTTAATACTGTAATGAATACTTACATGTTGCAGTTCCTTCACAAAAACTACATATGTGTTCTCCGGTTCCTTGACAGGCAGGGATAATGTCTCCCTCTCCATTCTCGTGTTTAAAAACAAGAACGGAACTAGCCAGATGCTAGTTTGACAGGTATCAGCTAGCTGCCTAGCACGTTAGCTATTCACAAAGTAACTGTATCGTTAAGCAAACGCTCGTTATACAGGAGCGTTAATGTCTCCCGCGTATGAAAGACAAATAAGCGGTCGTTAGACAAATGGACAACGTAAAATAGTGGAGATAGGAGTTGGTAACAACGACTTGCTAACGGTAATTAAAGATCACCCGTCAAATCCCATTCACAGCAGTTATCGTGAAGCGACGGTCGTTAGCAGAGTTGGTGGTTCTGATTATGGATAACGACTGTAGCGACCAAAAAAGGCTACACTAACTCAACAACACATTATCTGCCTGTACATGCCACAATAAGGCCGTTAGCCCCAGCAGCCAGCTCAGCACCGGCTGTGTCGAACTTCAGCCTGTACCGCGACAGTCAACAAGGCAGGGGGAGGGCCGGAGGGGGCTTTCAGGGAAAACTGGAAATTTGAGTTCTCACATAATGCACCACACTTTCAGAGCAGTAAGACCGACGTCTATGTAGGGCGACCAGAAGTGTACCCACACGATTTTAATCCTCTGTCCCACATTTTGGCTGGCTGAACAAAAGTCTCTAAAGTCATGCAAGTCTCCAGCTCCCCAAAAACTATATGTGGGGAAAAGAGTTTATTCATGCGGAACAATGTGGGATAGTGGAATGCAACATTGCAATTTTTGGTATCTATTCAATATTATATACAGTATAAAGTATACTATTATATAAAGTATATACAGACCCAGCTTTGCCTGCGTCAGTACTTTTAAGAGCCGCATGTAATGATTTATGAGGTGAATCTGAATACGTTTTTATGACAAATAATTGTGAGTTTTGGATTAATTGGTTAACAAATCACAAGTGCACCTTTGACTGTTTTTCCCACTTTTTGTCTTTTTTTTGAAGCGCTGGAATTTAAATGTGCCCTCCTGGCAACCGCTTTCTGTCAACCCCTGTTATTTTAAATGTGCTTAATCAATAAAAATGACTTGATAGTGAACCAAAAAGGGTTCTTATACTATACTTAAATTACTTAAATATTTTCATGTTCAGGATATATTTTTTCAGTTTCAGTAAAATTTAAGTGTTAAATTGAGTGACATCAGAACCAATTACGGCAGAACTGGAAGAAGGAAGATGAGCGAAGTGTGGACAGGGCTGTGGGGATGCTTGAACAGACATGCTTACTGTTTGATGTAACTGAAGCGACATGCTCAGAGGAGATAAACTAAAGGATCAATCCTATCACACAAGTATTGATCAGATACCAGTACCAACGCCGGTATCTATATAATCAATATTTAGATCGATCCATCCCCTCCTATTTTCAGAGCAGCAAGACAACAGTCTGTGACGTCTGCCCCAAATATTGCGACAATGCCCTACATTTTGGCTGGCTCTACAAAAGTCCTCGCCAGTGATTCTTATAAAACAAACTTATAAACAAAACAGTGGATCATCTGCCTCCATTTCACCCTATTCCTTGAATTCTACTCTATCACACCAACCCTCTGATATCCTGCTGAGCATCTTGGTCACTTCCAATAAAATCTGAGCATCTTTAACTCTGTCATCTCCAGCTGAGGCTCCTGTTTTTTGTTTTTTTTTTATTGTGATGAGCATAGATGGAAACTGAAGTTCATAATTGGTCCTATGGAACAGTTTTCTGTACATGCTTCCAACAGCTGTCATTGCAGTTGCTGTCTTTTCAGCTTTTCTGTCTGCTAATCATCTTTGGGTTTTAGCAGGGATGCATCCAAGTTCTCTTTGAGTTGTTTTATTCTGACACAAGTCCATTTTTGTAAATTAGAGTCATTTAAAATGCGGGACACTGTCTCGATATAAAAATGCTGTACAGTCTCACACTCCTGATGACACTAGTCTCACAAGAAACATTTTGGTTTAAAAATTGATGAGCTGAACTATGAATGCTTCCTTGCTGAAAGTACTTTTATGCTTTCAGCTGTTCCCTTATTTCCCAAGACGTTGCCACACAGGAGGGAACCACATGTTGATTTGTTACAGATACTACACCGGATGCCCTTCCCACTAGCTTGTGACCCCTGAGGATAGCTTTGTGTCTCCTCCCAGTCTTGAAACAGTGATCTTATGAACCATTCGCTCTTTGAATGCCTCCCAACTAAAATCCCCAAATTATTACCACAGAGATAAGAGGTGGAAATTTTAACAGTTACAGTGATGCAAACAGGAAATGCAAGACTGCACAAAGACTGCCACATAGGACCATAAAAAAAATTCAATTCCTCTTTATGTCTATTCTATAGTAATTGAGTTTAACTAAATTAGAGTAAATCAAAGTTTATTTGTGATTGACCTGATCAATGCCAAACCTGTAACCTGCACAGTATGTGTGTATTCATGTTTTAATTTAGATCAAAATCCCTCTCGGCACTGGCAACACGTCCCACAGAGTCTTCGCAAACAAACCCCTTTCATCACATTTAGTTTGCCCGGATCTGGTTACCCTAGCAACATAAAATATGGTGCGTAACTATATCAGAGAGGCCAATACTTTTCTGGACTGTGTACTGCTCATTTACGAGTAATATTTCTAAGCCACTCTAAGTTCAAATAAAATAGAAAATTTTGGTAGGGATGGGAAGCTCGAAACAGACGTTTCGACACTGTGTCAAGCCTCCGAAGCCGAGATGTTTTGAAAATCTGCTCTGAAGCGTGGTTCAAATGTTTTGGGTTTTGCTGGAGGTGCCAAGCTGTTGTTCTTCCACGTGATAACGAGGCCTCTGTATGTTAAATGAGTAAATTGTTTCTTCAGACTTCAATCATCCAATCTAATAAACCACGCCAAAAAGAGTCAATAGCAGCATACTCAAGTATAGTATGTAGTATGTCCCTATGAACTATGAGTGATGTTAGGATGTCCTGGGATAGCGTTAAAAAGTATATAATAAGTTTTTTCTTTCCTACTTCCTTTAAAGAAGCCATCAAGGGAACATTTGTTTATTCATTTTTCTGTGCGGCACTCAAACCAGCAACAGATATTCAGCATACGCAGACAGAGGAGATGATAGAGAACTAATTTGTTTAACTTGTTCCTTAAAAATCTGCATGTTTGTGCTTCTTCCCTGCACATGACAGAGAAAGATCAGAAAAATCTGACATTATTTTGACGTTTTTAATTGTCAGATCATCGAGACTGATTACAGATTTAGATTCATTTGGATGTTGCTGAAATATTTCACAAATTAGATTAGTGAATTAGATTAGTGGTGAATCTAATGTATACAGGATGTGGTGTATGCAATGGTGGTACACTCACCACAGTGGTCCACTCTGCAGTTTTATTCGTGATCATTGCAAGGATGCAGCCCGTGTAAACAAGCCCTGTTGAGAATAACCCCACTTCTTCTTCGTGCACTTCGGACACTGGTTCCATGGAGTCCATAGACCCTTGTGAAACAGAATTTAACAGTTAGTAAGTCTGTTTGTTATTGCTGGATTATGTAAAGCTCTTCTATTACAGAATATAGTTAAATATCAACATAAAGGCAAAACCATATCGTTAGCTTCATAGCATAAGTGCCTAAGTCATTTTTTTGTGATGACATAGGCAGACGGACGGGATGATGCAGCAGTGGTAGGGGAGTAAAGTTAGGCAAAAATCTCAATTTGACCAAAAAATGACTTAGGCACTTATGCTATGAAGCTAACGATATGTAACTAATATAGTGTAACTTTAATATGATAAAACCAGAGGAAGCTTAATGTGACTGATTTGCTGACCTCAAGATTATCCTATTTTATTGTAGCCAAAGTCAAAAATTCTCATAATGCGTTTACATGTTCTAAATATTTCACAAAAGCAATGATATTTTAATAATGGATTGCATTTATATAGCGCTATTCGAGACCCTCAAAGCGCTTTACAATTCCACTATTCATTCACTCTCACACACTGGTGGAGGCAAGCTACGGTTGTAGCCACAGCTGCCCTGGGGCAGACTGACAGAAGCGAGGCTGCCATAATCGCGTCATTGGCCCCTCTGGGCATCACCAGTAGGCGGCAGGTGAAGTGTCTTGCCCAAGGACACAACGACGAGACCGGCAACCTTCCGGTTACAAGACGAACTGCCAACTCTTTGAGCCATGATCGCCCCATTTTATTAGGAATCAAACATTTCTGCTCCTTTTTTGTGACCATGGCACACTAAGGTTCAAGGCACAATTTCAATGGGGAACCTGTATTACTATTTACACCACACAGCCTCTTTGTAATCTTACATATTATAACTGTTGGTGGAAACCTGCAATTTAATTCCATTACACCATTGCTCTAAAGACATTACTAACCTGAGGGTGAGTGTTCAACCTCAACACCAAGGCTCATGTCGAAGGCATTTTCCAGGGTGGCTTGAGGCACCTTTTGCATCTCATCAGATGTGCTGAAGCTCAGCGGATTGTCTTTGTTTTTATTAAAGTGTCCACCATCTTCCTCTACACTAACGTCCGGTCTAACCAGCTGTTCCTCTTCAACCTCAGCTGGCTTTTCTTCAGGATCCGTTATTGTCAGGTTGTCATCGCTCTCGGCCTTTGGTATTTTGTCCAATTCTTCCTCAGCAATGTGTAGCACATCTTCTTTAACATTCAATTCCTGTTCATCTGAGATGGAAACATAGGGGAAAACCCAATAATGCTTAAATTTAAGATTAAACATTTTAAATCTAGAACTAGCCTCTAGATTGCATGACATCTGCAGAGCAAAGACAAATTCATTATCATGAAAATCCATTTTGGCTTATTCAAGTGAAATGCATTAGTAATATGAAATATAGTTATTTTTTATTTTTAACATTACAAGAAAGGGTTAGAGTTATTCTGAAATTTTAATCTCTTATGGATTTTCATAAACCCTTTCCTGTGTCAACTCTCAAGATAAAGAAACACATTATGTCTCTTCACTATCAGCATGCAGCTGAGCTGTCCTTGTGGCCCACTGAAGAGCCAAAATACCCAGCGCCATCACTGGACAGTCACGTTATCAGTCTCCTAAAAGATTGACTAAGACTAATGTGTTTTCAGACCTCCTCAAATAGAAGTACATCAACAAATAGATAGGGATAACTCCAGAAAATCCACTACAGTGACCATCTGCTTGATGCTTAAGCTATA